GTTAAACAGTTTCAGCATGGTTAATCAGTATCCTGTACTTTCAGTTCCTTTATTCTTTTGATCTTTAAACCATGATGTTTTGTCATTAGTAAGGACAGAGTAATGACCCAAAGAATCAGAAGAGTGGGGGGGGGAGTCACTTGCCTCATTGATAATGGTCCATTACCTTGCGTCAGGTACCTTTTATAAGGTACTGTGAGTCTAATTTTTTCCCCTATCACACTGAGAAACCATATTGTTTATCTTACTGGATAATTTAATTATTCCCTCAGTAATTAATGGGATTATTCATTTTGTCTAGCCCTGGCTTCCCTTCTCATTTTTGAACTGCCTCTAGTCTAGGCAGAAACACAGCAGTTGGTCATTGTTTGTCCCCTCTCACTTCACCTTTTAATCATAGCTGCAGTTATGGCTTGATAACTGTGGGAGCAGTTCCAGGAAGGAACTAATAGGGGACAGCACCGTCTGCAGGCACATGCACCCGTCCCCTGTATACATGGGATAGATTTGCGTGTAACCTTTCCCCTCGGGTACACTTCCAGTTGCCCCTAGATTACTTAGGCTACCTCATTCCATGTAAATGCTACATAGTCTTGCTCTGTGGAGTAGGGAAATTAATAAACGTTGAGTACAGATGCAGTTATTTGAAACAACTGTTCTCCTTTAGCCCTTGGGTGACTCACAGACACAGATTCCATGACGTGGAGGGCTATGGATCTCCCCTTGCAGGTTAATTTCCTCTTCACACTTGCTGTGGGGGCCTAAGATGTGGAAGGTCTTGGAGGAAGAGAGCATATTTGTGGATCTTCTCACAGTTGGGTAATTACTTGGTTGGTTGCTGGATGAGACCATTGATGTACAATTGACCGGACAGGGTTGACCTTGATGTAAAGCAAGTCACCCAAGAATTAAACCATTTTTTAAAAATGTTTGCTCCCCCCACCAACAGTAAAAAATACCTCATAAGTTTCAAAATCAAGTCTCCACTTAAGGGAGAATACTATAATCTTGTTTGATTCTGACAGTACCAGGAAATACCTTCCATAGGAAAATACCTGGCTTCAGATATTTTAAACACATTTTTCGTACTTTCAGAATTGGATCACACTATAAGCCCAACCTGACCTCTGCATATAATATTCGGGTGGATTGAGCCAATGAACTGATACGTATTGAGAGAATATACTTAGCAGAGAATTGATATGTGTTGAGAGCAAAAAGGGACCGAGTATCATTAGCAGATATCTATATAGAAGGGCTTTTAAAACGTTCTGATTTAGGATGTCCTCAAAGGTTAGACAAGTGTGAGACATTACTGATCATCCAAATGCAGTCATGGTTACTATATGGAGATATTTAATTGTTCATGTAAAAGTTACACCATTTGTGTTTTGCTTATAATGTTCTTCAAGTATTACGTAGATTTTGTGAAATTTGTTTAATTGACTGGATGTGGGTGTATTAGTTTACTTAATGATTGTCCAGTTATTAGATGCTTCTCTTTTTCTATTATAAATAATTCTCTGATGACAATTTTTGTATGAAACATTTTCCTTTTAAAATATTTCCTTGGCGTAAATTTACAAATATGAAGTTGCTAGAACAAAGACCCTAATGTTTCTTACGGTTGCTTGTGGGAGGGGATTTGGAATGTTGTATTTTGTTGGTTTTTTTTTTTTGTCAGTGCAAAATGTTTGTATTTAGACAAGAGGGAAGGAAATCTCTATTTGCTGACTCATGTTTTTATTTTGCACTTTAAGCTGATAAGACCACTTAGCTTTTGACATAAACTAAGGCAGGAAGTACAAAAAGGGGCAGGAAAAAAAAAAAAAGAGTGGTCTTGCCAAGGTAACTTTTCTCCTGGACTGACTTGAGTGTTTTGTGTGAGGTAGGTTCATGTTTGACTTGTGTACTGAAAGTGCTTAACTCAAGTCTTCAGCCTGCATTTTGTTTTGTCTGTGTGTGTTTGTATAAGGAGGTCTGTCATCGGTTCACTTGGGCTTTTGTGTCTTTTGGGATATTTACTACCCAGCTGGCCTGTGCAGTGTTGGGAGGCAGTATGTTTTTACTGTATTTCTCTCCCTGTGTGGTGAGGTCCTCCTTAGCTGTCTTTCTGAAGCTCTGATTCTGTCTCCTCCACACACTCTGCTCTGTGGGATAAGGTGACTCACCCACTTTTCAGTCTTGCCCCTGCCCTGTAGTTCTGTCTTGGGTCCTGACCCTTCTGAGCAAACCCTATCATTCTTGTAATGTGCCCAGTTAGAAAAGTGGCTTAAAAATCCAGGCTTGAGAGTCACATGACATCGGTTCAAATCGTGGCCCTGCTACTTGGAGATGTGAACATAGTTTTGAACAAGATTTGTAACTCTTCGATATTTTACTTCTTGTAATTATCTCCTGTAATAATTGTCTTCAGGGAGTTGATCAGATGGAACTGGCTGCTAGATTGTACAGTGCTCAAAGCTCTGTTGATTGTGCAGAATTGCACTAATCATTTAAGGCCTGTCTGATGTTTTCTCTGGAAAAGCATCCTGAAATTAATTCTCTTCTCCTTTTCTACTTTTATGTGCTGTATTGTATTTGACTTAGTCTGTTTGGGCTCTTGTCACAAAATTTCTCACAGTCTCGGAGGCTGGGAAGTATAAAATGACCGATTTGGTGTCTGGTGAGGACACAATTCCCCCACAGCTCTGCTCACTGTACCCTCACAAAGTGGGGGGCCAGGTCTCTCTGCCGTCTGCAGTGGGAGTCGCCCCAGCCAGGAGGTCTTTGCCCTAATGACCCAGTTACCTCCAAAGCCCTCCTGTGCTAGGCAGTGGGTGATGTGCCGACATCCAGACACACGTGCTTCGCTTGTCATAGCATCTCACCGTGCTGTCTTACGGTGCACAGCACACCTGTCCCCTCCCCTGTGCCCGGGGACACCGTGGTGCAGCAGCTTCCCTGGCCCAGGTCCCAGAGGTGGCCTCGTAAGATGCCCCTATACCATCCTTGAGGTTAGCGTGCGACTTTGCAGCTTGCTTTGCGGGGTGAGTCGCTTACACACTGGTTCTTTCATTAAATGATGAGCCCCTTGAGGGCATCGGCCATTTTTGCCTCTGCACCCATGTCTGGCGTGCCTGGCACAGCCCCAGGCACACAGCGCAGCTCTGTGCATGAGCGTCAGGTGGGAGAGTTGAAACAAAGATCTGACGTGGTGGTTACTGTATACCATTCCAACATACTGACCTTGTAGAACAGACTCTCAGGAGTGTGAAGAGTCCCCATGAGTCTGATGTTAATACTAACCCCTTCCATGTGAACACCATGGCTTAAAGTACTTTTATTTTATTTTTATTTATTTATTTATTTTTGGTCCGGTTGTGGGGCCTGAACTCTGGGCCTGGGCGCTATTCTTCAGCTCAAGGCTAGCGCTCTACCACTTGAGCCACAGCACCACTTCCGGCTTTTTTCTTTTTGCTTATGTGGTGCTGAGGAATCGAACCCAGGGCCTCAGTCATGCAAGGCAAGCGCTCTACCACTGAGCCACCTTCCCAGCCCTTAAAGTACTTTTAGAGAAGGAAAAGGCATGTGGAACAGGAAGAAATCCACTCCTGTAAATTTTTGTTACTAGAGGCCGAGAAAGTTGTATTTCCAGTTCTGTAAAACTAATGTTTCACCAAAAGTAAATTACTATATCAATAGGTACACTCTGACCAAGTGTGACATTTGATAATGGCAGTTTTGGTTTTTTTCCCTTTCTTTTTCTCTTAAATGAAAACAACTCATAAACTTGGGTGAAGCTTTTTTAGGAAGAAAATAACGAATAGGGTCCAGGTCTCCCCTAAGCCTTTCAAGAGTCAAGCACTGCACTCATTCAACTGTTGCTGGTGATGTGCTATGCCGGTGCTGTCCACGGTGCCAGCAATAGAGCTGTGTGAAACGTGACACGCACGGTTCCCCAGTCACTGCTCCTGCAGTGTCTCTGGAGACATAATTGCTCTTACAGGTCTTCATAAGCACTATCTTCTGGAGTTTGAGGCGCAGTAATGACTCCCCCGCTTCTGTCCCTGTAACTGGCAACTTGTGCCTTCCCTTTTGTGCCTTTTTCTGTCTCTTTTAAAGTTTGCCCCACTTTATTAGTATTTTCAAAGAACCAACTTTGTGTATGTTTTCTCTAGTTTTTCTTGGTGGTAGTGGTGCTAGGTTTGAACCCAGGCCCTTACACTAGCTTGGCTTAAATGGCTTGCTTGCTCAGGGTTGGTGCCCTATCAGCTTGATTATGTCTACAGCTTTGTTATTTCCTGGTTGCTGAACTACGATCCTCTAGATGTCAGCCTCTTGAATAACCAGGATTACAGGCATGAGCCACTGAACACCTAGCTCTCTGGTATACTTTTCCTGCTCTCAATTTCTTTTGGGGAGTTTTGCTTTGTTTTTTCATTGTGGATGTACACAGTTATTGTGTGTGTGTGAGCATGTGTGCGTGCCTGTATCTGTGCACATGTCTGCCTCATGCTCTTGCATGGCTTTTGTGCTCAAGATTGCCGCTTTGCTGGTTCATTGGAGATACTCTGCTCAGGCTGGCTTCTAACTCCAGTCTTCAAATCTCAGCCTCCTGAGTAGCTAGGGTTACAGTGTGAACTGGTGCCTGGCTGATGATACTTCTCAAGGTCTCCGTGAATGGATAGCAGTGCTGCTGTTTTGTGGTACCTCACAGGACCTTTTTTAAAAGCACACAGTGCTGGTGAGAGGGAATCTCTTCAAAGACCAGCAATCCTGTTGGGTTTGGGCCCACCCTGAGGACTTAATTTAACCCTGCTTACCTCCATAGAGATACCGCCTCGAAGTACCATCACACTGAGGGCTAGGGCTTCATGGTGGACAATGGAGAAGACACTTTAGTCATAGAATACTCACTAATCATTAATAGTAATAATTGTGGTTTAGCAGATATGATTTTACACTTTTCCTCCTTTTCATTTTTTAGGTGCTGACCGCATTACCATATAGAGCTGTCGGAATGGTCATTTCTACTTTCAGGTCTGCAGACTGAGTCTCTGGAGAGGATCCTATGTAAAGGAACTTGACTTTCTTCTGGGGACATTTGCTCTGGAGCCCCTGATTTCACCAGATCTGAGGAGATACAACTAGTGCACTCACTATGAATGTGACAAGTTTGTTTTCCTTCACCAGTCCGGCTGTGAAGAGACTTCTTGGGTGGAAGCAGGGTGATGAAGAAGAAAAATGGGCCGAGAAAGCTGTGGATGCGTTGGTGAAAAAACTGAAGAAAAAGAAGGGGGCCATGGAGGAATTGGAAAAGGCCCTCAGCTGCCCAGGGCAGCCCAGTAACTGCGTGACCATCCCCCGCTCTCTGGACGGCCGGCTGCAGGTCTCCCACAGGAAGGGCTTGCCCCATGTCATCTACTGCCGCGTGTGGCGCTGGCCCGACCTCCAGAGCCACCACGAACTCAAGCCGCTGGAGTGCTGTGAGTTTCCTTTTGGCTCCAAGCAGAAGGAGGTCTGCATCAACCCCTACCACTACAAGCGGGTAGAAAGCCCGGGTAAGTGGGTCCCCCCTCCCTGACCCCCTCCCACCCCCATGCACCCCACAGCACAATTGCGTTGTTTCAAACAGAACAAAGCAGTGATCTCTTCCTGGTTTTGGTTGCAATTCTGAGGTTGAGGGAGAGGTGTGGGTCTGGGTGGATGGGGAGGTCACACACGCGCATACACACGCACACGCACACGTACACGCATGCACCTGAGGTGAGCCGCGTGGCTTGCAGCCCTAGAAGTGTCAGCCCTTGGCTGCTTGGCCTATAGCCTCTGGGTCGGTGAGAAGCAGCTCACCACAGTGGGGAATAGGGCCGGGAAGGAAGGGGCCCGCACCATGGGCACGCTCCCTGTAATGGTGAGCCCACCTCTTCCAGCTTCTACCACCACCCCATCCCCCACCGGGAACAAGCCTTTAAGTGCTAGTTCTCACTTACCTATCTGGTCATTTGTCCATTGTTTGCAGAGGTCACTCTTCAGTTTGTCCTTATTCTTTGACCCTCACCTCCCCTTCTGTGGTCATTTTGTTACTGACATTTAAGATAGAAAATAAAACCAGCCCTGACAGGACGTGGTTCCTCGTAGTAACTGCCATGCTCTGTGAGAGGTTTGACAGGCAGGAGGCAGCCAGTTGGCTCACACGGGCATTCTGAAACGGCACAGATGTCATTTCAGCCTCATTTACCTAAGGGTCTTTTGAATCACATATAGTAGAAACTCTTCCAGAAAGCTTTTCAGGCGCAGGTTAAGATCTATTTAATTTTAATTAACCAAGGTTTTCTGTGTAACATATTGTGAAATGGCTGGTGTGAGACTGGGACAGAGGGGTTTTTTCCAGAAGCCCTGCCGTATCAGGCCCTCACTCTCAGCACTGATGACATTGGCCCCCTTGGGCCACGTGGAGCACACAGGGCCATAGTCCCTGCGAAGCAGGAAGAGCTCCTCATGCTCACTCGGCACCAAGTAATTGTGTGACCCCCGATGAAGAGCAGCGGAGCAGTTTTAAGTGTAAGATAGCTCCTAAGCCCCTCAAACTGGAGTCCCCAGCAACACTTGCTTGAAGAGCCCTTGATGGAAATCTCAGCTCTAGGGTTTGAATAGTGGTTTTCAAGTTGCGTTCCACAGACTTGGAAATGCACAGTTTTGGCAAATAATAATGGTATATATTTATGGAGTACGTGATAGTATTGTTACATACGTACCTTGTAGAATTAAATGAAAGTAATGAACATATTCATCACCTCCCATGTTTTTGTCCCTTCTTTGGAGTGAGAACATTCATAAATGCGTGTTGGGCAGTTTTGAACTACACAGTTCATTGTTAACTCTGATCACAGTGCTGGGCAGTCCACCGCCAGAGCTATTCCTCCTGCGTGAGACTTTGGACCCTTGGACAGACATCTCTCCTTTCTCCTCCCTGCCTCCTGAGGATGGCCTGGGAGAGCCTGGTATCATGCACTGCTAGCAAGTCCAGGCCTGTTGTCTGGGGGAAAGGTGCTAGTGAACTGAAAATCATTCAGAATTTCAAATACAAAATTTATTAGCAAAAGTTAATTGTATAAAGAATTTCTTTGTAATATTTACATACATGCAGATACTATACTTTGATCAACTTCTCTATTTGATCAAATATATAGAATATATTTGTGTTTTATTAACTTGCATTAGTTTTGAGGATATTATTATATTTGTATATGTCACTCCCTCTTGTCACTCTCTCCCCCATATCTATATTTCTTACCCCCATTTAACAGTTTTTAATGGATTTCATTGTGCTGTATTCATATATATATGTATACACACACACACCATATAGGGGATGTAATATATAGGGGATATATATAATGTACTTTGATCGTATTCATCCCACTTTACCCTCTGTTTTCCCACCCTGCTGCTGCTGCTGTTTCCCCAAATTTTGAGTTTTGTGTGTTTTGATACAGGTATAAATTCTATTTACTCTTTCCAGATTTTCCCTTGTGCTACTAAGATGATCACTCCATGGTAATAAGTTATCTTTTTAAATTAGCATGCATTAATATCATGGTGGGGCTTATTGTGATAATTTTGTAAGTGTATACTTTGAACAAGCTTACCCCTCTGTTATGCTCCCATGGCCACCCTTCCGTTCAGTAGTATTTGGCAGGTTTGGTTGTGCTGTCTTTGAAGTGTCTGGGAGGCAGGGGAGAGAGAGGCCTATGGTTAGTTGGCTCAGTGCACATGTCCTTGTTCTTTCGGGAATCTTTGCTGTTTCTTTGACAAAAAAAATAATTTTATCCATTTAAGTGATTGTGTTTTTTCTTCACCCACATGACTTATTTTGTTACAATTGAGCTAGTGTACAAGTAATTGTAGGGGAAAAAGGAAGCCTAGGCAAACACTTATCTGCAGCCTGTATGCATGATGACTGACAGTGGCGGTGTATGAGAAGAGGAGCCTTTTGTTGAAAGGTAGAGCTTGGACCGTTACTGAAAACACACCTCTGAAAAAGTAGAAAATGCTAGGAATTGCTTTTCTGCATACATGTGGACACTTCCAGGGAACAGAAAGTTCAGAGAGCTTGGGAAGACTGACCTTGCTGCTGATGTAGCAGATGGACTGTTTGCCTGGACTTTTACTAGCCTTCAGAATCAAAGCTGCTTATTAGTGGTTGAATTAAACGCAGGCTTTCTTTCTCTTCACCAAAGTAAATGCTGACAGTGGTTAAGTCAGCATCTAATTGTGGCATTGAGAAGACATTCTGTTGCTATCTGCTACAATTAAAATGCTTTCGTGGAGATTTCCTGCTGTTCAGTCTTCTTGGTTTTTTGGTGTTTTTTTTTTTTTTTAATGTTTTTCACATGATTCTTGAAAATTACCTTTCTTTTGCACTTTGCACTTTGAACTTAATCAACAGGAAAGGTCATATTAACCTGGGCTTAAAATGCTGAGATTTTGTTGGCTGCACACATGTGATCTCAGCCCTGAGGAACCGCAGGAGCTAGAGTTTGAGGCCAGACTGCACCACATAGCAAGACTCTTGTCTCACGGACAACCCCCTACACCCAGCCCACGCCCCCCAAAATCTGTAGTGTTCATTTGTAAAGTAACCCCTTCCAGATACTTTCATTGTCAGCATAGTGGCTGCTAGTTATTTAAAATCTAAATGCACCTAAAATCTATGGCCAAGTCTCCAGTCTGAAAGTTCCATTTGTAGATTGTACAGTCTGTCTCTTGTTACTTTTGCTTTCCTTATAGTTATCTTCCCTGCATGACCTGTCTGTCTATGCAGTGTTTGGTGAGCAAGATCAACAGTCCCAAGCTCTGCCATCTACTGCCGCTAGCTTGTAGAGTAGAAATAACACTAGCCAGCTGGCAACTGTTAAAGATAAAAAAAAAGTATGGCTGAAGAAAAACAGCAATTTTGAAAACCGTAGAAAAACATACTATAAATGAAAGAAGTATTGTGGACAGTGAGAAAACATTCTAATATAGAGAGTGACCTGGCTGACTCATTCCCATGGCAAGGTGGCTGAGAGGCTGAGACTGAATTTGAGTGTACTCCACCGGATTGTCTTCCTCCAGCTTGCGCTGTGAGGGTTGTGTGTGGCGGCGGGGGGGGGGGGGGGGGGGGGGGGTGGGTCACAGGAGCCTCGCCCCATGTGTGCCTCCCTGGAAGGCACTTGGAAAGGGCATGAATGGCCACCGTCTTGTTTTATTCTCAGCCTTTTGAGTACTAGATGGAAGAGGTCTCAGACACCTGGAAACTTCTCCCTCCAGTACGTGTCCCCTCCCCTGGCCCTGTCCCCACTGCAAAAGCCAGCGATCTCTTCAAAGCTCGGTATTGTAGCTGATAACCATTAATTAGCCAGATCCTCAAACCCCTGCCATGATAATTTGAAAATATGAGATTTAGGGGGTGGGGGATGGGGAAGTAAAAATAATTAAAACAACAACAGCAAACAGCTGGGGCACTTTAGGCAACTTCAAGACAGAGACTGTAAGCACTGTGCTAAGAACCCAGGCAGGCTGGGCGCCAGTGGCTCACACCTGTAATCCCAGCTACTCAGGAGGCTGAGATCTGAGGATCGTGGTTCAAAGCCAGCCCAGGCAGGAAAGTCCATGAAACTCTTATCTCCAGTAAACCACTCACAAAACCGGAAGTAGTGCTGTGGTTCAAGCGGTAGAGGGCTAGCCTTGAGCTGAAGAGCTGAGGGACAGCTCCCAGGCCTGCCCAGAGTTCAAGACCCAACCCACGACCGACCAAAAACAAAAAAACAAAAACAGGCAGGCTTGAGGAACCGCCAAGTTCTGTTTGGAATTGTGGAGGATGACTGTCAGCAGATCCTGGAGCAGAGCTAGTGAAGCCTTGAGACTTCCTCCGCGGTCTCAGGCTCTTCCCCACGTGGGGAAGTAGGGAGAGAGACACTGACCTGGCTGCTCACCCACGCTGCTGCCCTTGTCACTGCCTTCCCCACCTTGCTCCCCTGACATGTAGTACTGCAGCCTGACAGCAGTTACCTGTTGCAGGTCTGCTCTTCATAAAACAGTGGGTTGTGAAACTAGCAGTGACTAACTTCCTCCATAAGTGACCTAGCATATGCAAACCCATTCTTGGTTTAATCCAAAGATTTGGGTTGATGAAGGACCATACAGCAAAATTTCCCCATAAAAAAATTGTGTTTTTTTTTTAGGTGGTACTGTTGTTTTTTGTTTTTGTTTTTTTTAACCTCAAGGACTCACACTTGCTAGGCACTCTGCCATTGAGCTGTACCTCCAGCCCTTTTCTTACACGGGTTATTCCTGAGAGCAAGTCTTGCTTCCTGCTCCAGTGCACACCTGGCCTGCAGTTCACCTACGTTAGGCTTCCTGTCATAGCTGGGATAACATGCTAGCTCACCATCTCCAGCTCTTAATTGAGAAGAGGCTTGAAACTTTTTCTGCTCAGGCTGGCTTTGAATTGTGATCCTTCTAATCTCAGCCTTCCAGGTAGGATTACAAGCATGAGCCCCCTGTGCCTGGGTCCCCTCGTTCTTCAGTGTGCGTTTCTGCTATGGAATCCTAGCTGGTTTTAGGATGGAAGCTAGATCTACAGTCTGCTGCATCACCATCTCAGGTCGGGAGATGCTTTTCTTGGTCGCTACCCCGCCCAGGAGGGACTTGTTTCTTAAGGAAGTGGAGGTCTGGCACTGTTGTCACACCATACCAGCACGCCCTGGCCTTCCCGCTCGCCTGTCTGGAATCCCCACACAGAATGAAGCAAAAGAAGAGAATGACTTTATAAGGAGATTTGGGCAGCTTGGTGTAAACTGAAACCAAACATACATACGACACAGAGTGAAATTGCCTGGTGTGTTTTCCTTTGTTTCCCCATTCACTGTAGCTAGCCAGCTTTGTAGCAGTCAGCCACACTTGTTTTTCTGTGACAGTATTTTTCTTTGAGTGCCTGAAAAGTTCCCAACATTGGGTGGGTATGCTGGTATGTTAGGCAGGTATTTTACTAAGAGAGTCAAGTTAACAATCAGTTGCGAATAAATGCTTTTGAAACATAAACCCCACAGCTTTTGCATAGGAAAAAGACTTAATTTTAAATGAGGTATTTAAGAGACAGCTGATGGGAATCCATCAAAAAGACCCTGGATCCAGCCCAAAGGTACTGCCGGAGACTTAAGTCTCTAAGACCATTTCATCAAACAGTACATAAGCACAGAAATGGGTTATAAACCAGGAACCCCGCTGGTGTTGAATAAGTAGGCGAGAAGTTGAGACAACCTCTTGCAAACTCTTGCAGACAGTAGAGTGCCAGCTGCCAAGGGCAAGTGTGGGCTGGAATTCTTCTGGAAATTCAGGACAGAAAGGCCATTGAAAGGAGAAGGGTTAAATTTGAGAGAACAGAACTCAAGGCTAGATGGCTTCTGTTGAATTCTAACACTCTGACCTGAACCACTCACCTCTTTGAGTTAAGGTGTTTGCTCACCATGAAATGAAGCAGTGATTATAGCTCTTCCCAGGTTGTGGGAGATTAAACTACTAAACACTGCATGCGAAAAGGCCCTGCACACTAATGCATTCAGGATAAAGCAGCTTAGTATCTCTGTATGTCTTCCTTAGAATAAAAATGAATTTGCAATGGACACACATTATCATTAAGCAGATGTTCAGAAACGAATGATAGTGAAAATAGTACTAATGAAGCAGTTTGTTTTTGTGCTTTCTGTGTGGCAGGCAGTGTTGGCCACTGCATATGCAGTCTCCTTAATCCTGACCACAGCTGTAAGCAGCAGGTGCCTTCAAGGCTGCCTGGATACAGAGTTTGAGTCAAGCTGTCACCTTACTTGAAACAGACTTGCAAGTCCATGCTGCTTCACATTCGACTGCCTCACAGAAGAAGTGGATCTGGGTCTGGGAAGGTGGCTCAGTGGTAGAGTGCTTGCCGTGCATGCATGAGGCCCTGGGTTCAATTCCTCAGTACCACATAAGCTGAAAAAGCTGGAGGTGGTGCTGTGGCTCAAGTGGTAAAGTGCTACTCTTAAGCAAAAAAAATAAGAAGCTGCTTAGGAACTATGCCAAGACCCTGAGATCAAGCCCCAGGACTGGCAAAAAAACAAAAACAAAAAACCCCGAAGTGGGTCTGCACCGTTTTAATCAATCATCTGTGTCAACAAAGGTCCAAGCAACCCAAGTTTTTATTGGTAAGGGCATGTGATCTGAAATACGTATCTACCCCAACCTTGTAGACGTGGATCGCTGGTGGCAAATTGGGAGTTCTACACTTGTGTGTTTCTTTAAAGAGCTTTATTTGTATTTCTCACTCGTCAGCGATTATCATTACATGGCCGGTTTGATGGAACACATTTCACAGAATCAAATGTAAACTCAGAATAAGCTGCCTATAATTAATTCAGTGACAATTACCAATTAAGCTAAGCTGCCTGATGGGGCGCCTGAGGTAGCCATTTGCCAGTAGTTGATTAGGCAGCAGCCCACACTTGCCCTTAGTGGCACCTATCCCCCTCCCAGTGCTCAGAGCATCATTAAAACCATGCAGCACTGAAACACCTTAGCATAGCAGCCCATCACCGGCATCCGGGAGACAGCTTGCTTAGGTGTGAATCCTGGTTATTGGTTACATGTTCTTAGGCAAGTCACATAATCTCAGTGGTACCCAATTTCCACTGTATGAAGTGGCAGAGACAACAGTGCCTGGGCTTGCAGTTGGTATGGGGAATGAGTCAGTATTTGGTACAGCTTGGGATAGCAGTTGGCACCAGTAAGCACTGTATAAATGCTAAATACAAAGATCTGGGAGAAATTCTAGTGTCCATTTTTACCGGAGGGAGGCTTGACAAACTAAATTGCCCCTGAAACTTGGATAGTAAACAATTGTGCAGAATTCTGAGCTTAGAACCTGAAACTAAAACCAGTCTCTGCCCTCTGGTGTTTGCACTACGAAGGATTTTCTTTTTTTTCCCTTTTCCTTGAAATCTGAGGTTTCTCTGTCTTCAACAACTTGGGTAGTCTTTAATAACATTGCACCTTTCTTCTGTGGAGGTTAAGCAGATAAACAGTTGGCAAAGGAAAAACTGGGATAAGGGTAGGAAGTGGTGAAACCTAGAGGGAGCTTGTATTAGACAGACTCTGGGGAACCTCCCTCCTTGTCTCATGGTGTGTGAAGAGGCCTGTGTAGTTATCCCTGTGTGAAATCCCAGACAAGAACTGGGCTGCCTGAGTTCCCAGGGCAAGGACCTGGGCTGCCTTGACCAAAGCAAGTGCTCTTCCATCACCTCGCGCTGCTGACCGAAGAAACCCAGCATCATATAAGGCCACACAGCCTTTTCCTTATTCTTGTTTAAATCGGTGCCACCTGAGAATCGGGATGACACTGTAGAGTCTTAGAGCGGGAAAGGGTCATCTCTAGAAAGCTGCTGTAAGGTGAGAAAAGTTGGAGTGACAACTGCTAAGATAGGACAAGAAAACCTGGTGTATACTGTGCATGCAGTAACCCCGCACTTGGTTCACCAGGCTGCACTCACAGGTACAGAGGTTCTGATGCATTATACCAGGATAAGCTACAAGAGTCTGCCTTTATAAACAAAGATCTTGCCAGTTTAGGTACAGGGAATCCAAGAAAGACTGGTCTGTAGAGTCAACAGACCAGGAAAAAATTAAAATAATTCACAAACATATGAATTGAAAACACATGAAAAATAAAGGACATTTCTATGTCAGATACTAGGTGATATAAAAGAAAACAGCTGTACCCTCAAGGGCATCAGCATCATGGTCTGATGAAGGGAAGTCTTACCAGCTGTAACATGTGGCAGATCCGTGGATAAAGGCCTGTGCGGCCACAGTGGGCACAAAGAGTTGTGGGGTATGTGTGCTATATGGGAGGCTGAGAACAGAAGGATGGAGGTTCTGGATCAGCCCAGGACACAGAGTTCACCAGGTTGTGTGTGGAAGGGAGCTGAACAAGGTGCACTGCAGCGATCCCAGCAGTGACAAGATGGCAGATGACGGCTCAGGCCGGTGCCCAAGAAGACATGAGACCTTACAAACATGGGGGTCATACTCAGCCCCGAGTACCACGAAGAAACAAACGACTCCTAGCCCTCCCTAAGGAGGTATTAATCCTCCAAAGAGCATATTTTCCAGGAGTAGTGATGTGTCCTGGGTAGATGGCCTGGAAACCCTCAAAGGTTAAGGTGATTCTTGACATCACTCAATATTGTTTCTGTAGGAAAGTATCTTCTGAGTCCTACCTTCTGAGTCCTACCTATCAAACCAGAAATAGCATGTAAGTGTCCTCTCTCCCATGCAGTTCAAAAGGAATATTCATTTATTTGTAACCAGGGCAGAGGGGAGCGGGAGCGGGAGCAGCAGCGTTTCCGTGAGCCATCTGGGGACCGTGGCAGGAACCTCGCGGTCTAATCTCCGGCAGGGCTCTGACGAGGAAGCTGGAGGTTGTTGACTGTGCTGAACACCAGTTCCTTATGTTTTTAACATGTAGAGCGTGAGGAGAGACAAGTTGTGTTTGCTTCTCTCCAGGTGTCTACTGCTTTGGGCCTTCATACTTTCGAGTTTTCCGTTGGCAGAATGTGGCCAATCCCCTGTGTTCTCTCGGCCAGCCTGTCCTATGTTGCTAAGGATTGTTGAGAAGTGGGTAGATGTACGATCGTTAGAGAGACGAGCTTCATGAAATCTCGCCACCAAGACGGGACACAGCGTCACACTTTGTAATCTGTAAACCACTGGTGTGATGCATTGTTAAGTTATCATTAGATAATCAATGGGAAAGTTGAATTGTCAGTGGTGCTGCAGTTCTCATGATATTGGTGAAGACAAAAATCTCGATGTGTAACCCAGGCCATCCTTGAATCACGTTCCTTTTGCCTCAGCCTCCTGAATTCTGGGATTACAGGCACATACCACAGTGCCCAGATTGGTGATAGATATTCTTAATTAGACTTTGGTTTGTACTGAGTAGAAAAATTAAGAACGGGAAAACCTTAACATCTTTAACCCAAGGATTGTGCTTTGTAGACTTTCTCAGTCAGTGCTTTGGACCTCTGACGTATGTTGTAATTCTGAAGAGACTGTACTTGTTCTTACTTTTGTTGTTTTTCATTTGAGTAGTACTTTTGAGTTGACGGCAGAGCAGAGTTCAGGTAATTTGTCATCACATCACAGATTGCATTTCAAAGATTTTGTATCCGATTTTCATCATTCTCCTTTCTGTTTCCAGTTCTTCCTCCAGTGCTGGTTCCAAGACACAGTGAATACAATCCACAGCATAGCCTCCTTGCTCAGTTCCGTAACCTGGGGCAGAATGAGCCACACATGCCACTCAACGCCACTTTTCCGGATTCTTTCCAGCAACCCAACAGCCACCCGTTTCCTCATTCTCCCAATAGCAGTTACCCAAACTCTCCTGGGAGCAGCAGCAGTACCTACCCTCACTCTCCCACCAGCTCAGACCCGGGCAGCCCGTTCCAGATGCCAGGTAGGAGGGGTGTTCAGACCAGATGGTGCCTTGGGGAGACTGGCCAGCCTGGCGCGGAGGGAGCAGCCGGGCCCTGGACACTACTGTGCAGGGCAGAGACTCACAGCCAGGGAAGCAAATGGCTTGTTCGTTTGTCATGCATAGATGCTCAAATACGCTGTATTTTCCCTTCTTTTTTTAAAAAAAGTTTTGAAACAGCTGCATCCTTCTGGGAGTGGCATAATTATTACAGTCTTTGCTCTTGATAAAAGAAAGGGAAAAATACTGTGTATCACATTGTGGTTATGAGAAACACAGCATGATTAACAGATTAGCATCATCATGGGCAGGAACAGCCATGCTGTAAATACCACCTCAGAAAAGATATTCCTGAGGGATCCCACCCCCATTTAATTAAATTCATTTAGGTGGTGATGTAATCCCAAGAAACATATACTTTACCAACAAAGAGATTGCAACGGAAGTACTGCCAACCATCTGTGTGTTTAACTTAGCAAAGACAAAAAGCAGTTATTTTCCTTTTTTAGACCAGATAGTTACCAAAATAAAGGATCAATTAGGACATGTTTTTCAAATTTTAGGTTTGTATACAAGTGTCTTTGAAAAAAAACAACTTAGTACCAAGTTTCTAGCCAATCAGCCTCAAGAAGGATATTGTTAATGATACATTTGAAATGTGTTAACATTTTGGAAGGGAACATGACTGGGCAACTTTACTGGACAATCCAAGTGTTTTTTAAAACCAAAATTGGAATGGGAAAGAAAGATGAAAGAGGTAACATTGATTAAGAAGCTTTATACTCATAAACTGACATTTTGAATGGCAATCCCTTCGTGCAACTCTGTAAAGATAATAAAAATGTAATTTTTAAAGTAAATTTGAATTCAATGTCAGTGCCAAGACTTCACAATTGAAGTCGCTTTGTTTTTTTTTAAGTATTATCATTCCCTTTGAAATCCATTATGCATTATGAAAAATAGATTAATTTAAAAATCAAACTGCTAATATTTGGTGTTTTCCTGTCCACCTGACTCCCTTGGACCCATTGTGTTTGGACGTGTCACAGAGCAGTTAAGTTTGATGGACGTGTCAGTGCCGAGTAGTTAAGTTTGATGGACGTGTCAGTGCTGTGTAGTTAAGTGTTGGCACTTTAGAGCAGTGGCAGCCCCGAGTGAGCACAGACCAAAAGGCTGAAGATTATCCTTGTGTTTATACTTTCTAGCTGCTGAGAATTAAGGCACAGGTCCAGCAGAGGAAATTTGGAAAGGAAAAGAGGGAGGGGGTACTGATGGGAATTGTAGACCAAGCCCCTCCAGGCTGAGGATGCCCACCAGCTTGGTGGCAGCAATCGCTAGGTTGGGGCCTAGAGGAGGCCCTGTCTTCCCTGGCTAGGGTGAAGCAGAGTCAGCCCTACAAGCTGCAGAGAAGAAGCTGGATTTAAGGGAGGACAGGGAGTCTCTGTAGTCCTCTATCTGTGTTTCCAATCATGCTTATTAGCAGCTGGACAGTAGCATTGGCTATGGTTCAGTAGGAGTCAGAGGGCAACCGCTGGGGAGCCCTGGCTGTCTGACCACTGTCAAGTCCCTCAGGTAAGCTGTGCCCCTCGGCCCCATCATACATGCTGGACAGGCTCAGGACAACCAGAGAGGAACTAACTTGGCTTTAGTCGCAACAGGTTATTTGGGAAACCAAACACAGCCGACTTGCATTAATGCTTAAGAAATCATGTTGTTGGCTCTTGTTTGCCTGCTGGCCACGTGCTCTTCAGAAGAAAAGTTACAAATTCTAATATCGAAGACAGCTGAGATAAAATGACTTGGTTCCTGTTATTCAACTACTAGAGATTTAAAAACTAGTGACTATTTGAATGTGTAGAGAACAGATGATCACTTAAAGTTGTGGGAAATTAGCAATTTAAATCATCAGTAGGCTGTAATGAAACCGGTTTGGTAAATTCCTAAAAACCCAGTGGCTTAGTATAAGAGAGTTTGAATTTTTTTTTTTAGTAGTCTTGTTTAGCTTTCGATGCTTTCAATCCACTAGTGAAACTGAAATGCAGAGGTTTCTCAAAGACTCTGTGAGTATAACCCCCTTCCAATTTCATGATCCTGGATAGACCGTCACCTGCTGGAACTGGATCCTGGGTAGAGAGTCACCTAGAACTGGACCTGAGATCAGCAGCCAAGCCCTGGCCCTGGATAGGCAGTCAGCTCCTGGAATTGGATCCTGAATAGACAGTCAATCCTGGAACTGGATCCTGGATAGGCATTCATCTCCTGGAACTGTATTCTGGATAGGCAGTCGACCTCTGCAACTGGATCCTGGATAGGTAATCAGCTCCTGAAACTGGATCCTGGATAGCCAGGCAAGTCCTGAAACTGGATCCTGGATAGGTAGTCAACCTCAGCAACTGGATCCTAGATAGGCAGTCAACTCCTGGAACCGGACTCTGGATAGACAGCCAACCCTGGAACTAAGCCCATAGTGTTCCTGCTTCCACTGAAATGTCACTGAAAACATAAGGCTCAGGGATGGTAATGATTTTTTGAAATCATCTTGTCAATGTAGATAGACCTTGATATTCTATTTATAGTCTATAGTCTTCTGATTAAACTGGCAACTTAATCTGCAATCTTCTTGAAACTTTACAGCTGATACCCCTCCACCTGCTTACCTGCCCCCCGAAGACCCTATGACACAAGATGTCTCTCAGCCAATGGACACAAATATGATGGCCCCTTCACTGACTTCAGAAATCAACAGAGGAGGTAACAACATTGCTACTTGCTCCTCTTTTGAGGACTCTAAAGCTCATATGGCCAAATGTTGCTTTCTCTCACAATTTTTTATTCATTAGAGTGCCTGCTTAGCAAGCACGAGGCCTTGAATTTAAACCACCCCCCCAAATTATTTTATAATTATAATTATAAAAATATATTAAATACTAATATACAAATATATTAAAATTATAAAATTAAAATTATTTTAATGATGAACCTCAAGAACGTTTTCTGAGATGTGTGGCATAATTGGAACATACAGCTTTCTGGTACTAGGGCTTGAAATTGGCCTCAAGCTGTCACTGCTAATGGCTGGTGCTCTACCATTCAAGCCATATCTATAGAACGAACATAGAATTTTTTAATTAGTTAAAAAAAAATCTTTTCTCATTTCTGGTCATCTTCTGGTGATCTTACAAGTCAGCAAACAAAAGAATCTGGATGGAAAAATAACCCATTGTACTCATTTGGGGAATTTGTGTTTGCAGAACAAGCCAGCAGGAAAGGTGGGGCATGGCGTGAGCCCCATTACAGCCATATGGCCCCTGTAACTGTGTTGTGAAGCTTATGATCTCCATTTTGGAAAGTAGACACAGCGTTACTATTTGCCCTTTTTTTTTTTTTTAATTGTGAAAGTACCGTACAGAGGGGTTACAATTACATGGGCAAGGTAATGAGTATATTTTTTATCAAGAAGCATTGTTGCCTCCTTCCCATCTCCCCCCCCCCCCCCCCCCCCCCCCGCACATCCCCTGCCATCCCCCCCCCCCCGTCCGTCTCCCCCCCTCCCCCCCCAAAGTTGTAAAGTTCGTTTTTCGACATAATGTACATCTCATTGTTGCAATGGGTCCACTTGTATCCCTATTTAAACAATTTGTTTTTTCCCTTCCTCTCCACAAATTATACCAACATCAAATACAGTGAAAACAGGGGTTATACCGTGGGGTGGGGGGGACTATTTGTCCTTTTAAATAGCTTCAAAAGTTTGCTTTATTAGAGTAAGTTTATAACCAGCTACTATTTTCATAAAGAAGGAATGTTGGCTTTTTCTTGTTGTTGCCTTTGGTGGTTTTCCTAGAGCAAAGGTCAAACTACAGCCCACTGCCAATTCAGCCCACTGTCTGTTTTTGTAAATAAAGCTTTATTGGAACATAGCTGTGTCATTCATTACACATTTATCTATGACTGCTTTTGTGCTAAGAAGGCAGAGTAGGATCATTGTGATAAAGACCATATGGCCCACAAGTCTTTCTGTCCTTTTATAGAAAAACAAAAACAAAAACTTGTCAGCTTTAACCTAGATGAATAGTATTCTGAGCGATACTGGTAGAGGATAAAAGCCTTCCATTAGTGAAGTTACAGCCTTCCTTGAGATTTAACACTTTTAAGTTATTAAAAGTTGTCTCTTTGAAGTAGAGGAGATGACAGGGAAGAGTTGCTTAGCGAACAGGAAAACTTGAGTTTTCAGGTGACCTACTTAAGTATATAAAAGAGCAAACGTGTGGTTTTAAATGATTATTTTCCTTACCAAATTCAAAAGTGAAGTGTAGTATTTGTGGGTTGATGTTTAAGAACGCCGAGGTACGTTTCCCTTAAAGAGTGCCTTTGCTGGGGATTTTTCTTTCCGTGTTTTAATGATTGTATACCCCAACTTCTTAAACCTCAGATCACTGTATACAAGTATGTTGGAAATATTATCGTTTGTATTCCAGAAATCTCTAAAGCAGCGGTACAGTAGTTTTTACTACAGAAGGAACTTATCTTAAAACCTTTTAGTTGCAAGTGTTTAGAAGCTTGTTCTGTTTGGAGATTTGTTGGCCTTAAGAGATTTGACTTCACAAGCTGCATCCTGTCAGTAAAGTTGGGTAATTTCCATTGTTGGCCCATCCTGGGAATGGAGAGACAAAACACACCTGCTCTGCATGACTTAAAGCAAATATAAGGAAGTTAGCATGAAATCTGGATGGGAGAGATATGATTCATTCTGTGAGAGTGGCCAACTGGCAGGATTTCTTCCTGAGACTGAGAACTGGAGCAGAACTGAGGCTGCCATCATCATTAGCAACTTAACTACGAAGGAACCTAACTTCTTATCAATAATTAAAAGCCGATACTCATTACTTTGAAGAAGCATGGTTATGCCAAGGCTTTGCCCACAAGACTTCTCTTGCCCTCCCGTTGAGCCTGTCTTCAGGCCTGTTGTTGTCACCTCTTGCATTTGTTTGACTGGGGAACGGAGGTCTCTGTTGGGGTGATGTCCATCTCTGCATATTAAAGAGCAAGCAGCCTTGTGAGCATTCAACAAACACTTGTTCTCTAAGCTTGTTTGGCTGGTGTTTTGGTTTTCTGACAATAATTAGAAAAAAATTTTCCCAAACAAAGCACAAGGCAACCCTTAGTAAAGTAACCCGCATTAAACGGCGTAGAGATACTGCCTACATTATGATCCCAGCAACCCTTCCACATCTTTCCTCCATGATGCTGAACCAACTTCACAAAGCAGTTTCAGTTTTGAGAGCTGAGCCAGAGGCAGAGACCTGGGCTGATAGAACCTTTTCTTTCTTGCAGATGTTCAGGCAGTTGCTTATGAGGAACCAAAACACTGGTGCTCTATTGTCTACTATGAGCTCAACAATCGTGTGGGTGAAGCGTTCCATGCCTCCTCCACAAGTGTGTTGGTGGATGGTTTCACCGATCCTTCCAACAATAAGAACCGCTTCTGCCTTGGGCTCCTCTCCAACATTAACCGGAATTCCACGATTGAAAACACCAGGCGGCATATTGGAAAAGGCAAGTCTTCTTCCAAATGTTTATCTGTTGTGTTCCTGTTTCCCCCCAGAGGTGACTCAGTCATTCCTGTGGCAGATCAGTGTAGCAAACACCAGGTAATATTCAGTTACTGCCATTTGAAATACTTTTCAAATTAGTCTTATAAGTTCTTCCAATCAGTGGTTTGTTTGGGTTTTTCAGTTATTTGTTTTTACAGTGTGGAGGATTGAACCCAGGGCTTTGTGCATGCTAATAAAGCGCCTTACTAATGAGCTATGTCGCAGCCATTGACTTTCTGAGACCAAGTTCCCATATAGCCCAGGCTGGCCTCCAGGATCCCACTGCCTCACCTATGTTACAGGACATTGATTCATGGATGCTGATCCCTTATATAAAATGGGGTAGTATTTCCTACAACCTGCACACATCCTCCTGTTCACATTAAATTCTCTCTGGATGCTTTAAACCTAATTCAGTATAAATGCTCTGTGCTTGGATAGCATACTGTATTGTTTAGGAGAAAATGGCTATACATGTTCAACACTGATGAGATTTTTTTTGAAAAATAGATTCTGATCTGTGTAAGGTTGACTATAGACTCAGCATAGCTACAAAGAAGCAACTGTAATTAATTACAGTAATGAATCTTAAACCACTGAAAAACAGTACTGCTGGACATGGTAATACATGCCTGCAATCCCAGCACTTGAGGCAGAAGCAGAAGAATAATGAATTCAAGGTCCTATCTCCAAAGAAATAACTCATATACTTATACCAATAATACATAATAAGGTGAGGTAAATGCTTAAGTGTAGAATGAGTACTAGAATTGGAAAATTCATTATTTTGTAATCATAATAGTAAGGATCAAGGAAGCCAAGTAGGTGGAGGGTTTTTGGTTTGCTTTTTTATTTTTATTTATTTATTTTTTTACATTGTACTTGGATGGGAGCTCAGGGCCTCGCAACTTGCTGGGCATGTACTATACTGTTTGAACTACATTCCTACCCCCTTTTTGCTTTAGTTTTTTTTGTTGTTGTTGTTGCTGTTTTTGGTTGTGGGGCTTGAACTCGACCTGGGCGCTGTCCCCTCAGCTCTTCAGCTCAAGGCTAGCACTCTACCACTGTGCCTCAGTGCCACTTCCTGCTTTTTCTGCTTATGTGGTGCTGAGGAATTGAACTCATGCACAAGCACTCAACCACTGAGCTACCGTCCCAGCCCGATTTAGTTATTTTTTGAGTAGGGTCTCCTACTTGTGTCTGGTTCACCCTGAACCACAGTATTCCTATTTAATCCTCTCATAGCTGGGATGACAGGCATATGCCATCATCATACCCAGCTTATCGGTTAAGATGAGGTTTCACTATTTCTCCAGACTGTCTTTTGAACCATGGTCCCTTCTGATCTCAGTCTTCCTAGTAGTTAAGAGTGAGGCATGAGCCACTGTACGCTGGCCTGTCAAAACAGTTTTTGTGAGAATCAGGTATTTGCATGGTCTTGAGTATTTCCTCACCAACTACCTGTTACTTGCAAAGGAGAATAAAAAGCAGTAATTAACACAGTGTAGAAAGGGTGTGGCTTGTAATTGTACGACTGACCTCCTGTCTTGATTGAGGATCAGATTACCATCATCAGTGAGAGATAGGTGGCTGTAATGTGTGTCCAGATGATGGGATAATCTGAGAAGGGCATAATGTCACTGACAGAATTCCAGCTGTGAGTGACATCTGAATCCAGTCATCACACAGACCCAAACTGAGGGACATTCTACTTAAAAGATTAAGAACTAATGGCATTCTTGAGGAATAGCCATCAGAAGATGAAGAAGGTGTGGGAAGATGCCAGGGATATGACAGTTAGCTGTGATGTTTGACCTGGACCAGCTCCTGCACTGAGAGATGCAGGGGAAGATGCTATGAAGGGCACTTACCAAGGGTTAGCAGGCCAAAGTAGGATGTGAACAGGAGATTGGGTAAAAAGTATTAGGTTGATGTCAGATTTGCTGGTATTGCTATCTGTGTTGTATCTATTTAAGAAGCTTACATACTTCCCAGGAAATGCTCACTTGCCCGCTTAATTGTTTAGGGGTAAAGGGCATGATGAAATGTTCAGGAAGAAATGATGTATGTATAAAGATACCTGTGTGATTGCCAGTCATCTGTAACAGTCCTGTGCACCGTGTGTGTGCGTGCGTGCGTGCATGTGCAGGGACGGCAGGGAGGAGAGTGTAAGTGGAATAAATTGTCACAGTGATGAATGCAGATGGTGCTTACATAGGTACCTCTGCTCTCTTTTTCTTTTTTGTTTTATTGCAAACCTTTCTGAAGTTTGAAATTATTTCCAGAGACTCCTGTGAAGCTTAGAGCAGTGGACAGATGAAGAAGTTCTTTTAATTGGTGCTTAACGGCACTGAAGATAAAATTTTAAGATTTTACCAAAGATAGCTGGGTGTTCTTGGCTCACATCTGTAATCCTAGCTACTCAAAAGGCTGAGATCTGAGGCTCCTGGTTCAAAGTCTGCCCAGACAGGAAACTCCATCAGACTATTTTATCTCCAATTAATGACCAGAAAACTAGAAGTGGTTCTGTGGCTCAAAGTGGTAGAGATCACTAGCTTTGAGCAGAACAACGCTCAGGGATAGCACCCAGGCCCTGTGTTCAAGCCCAATGACGAAAGAAAGAAAGAGAGAGAGAGAGAGGAAAGAAAAGGAAGGAAAGAAAGGAAGAAAAGATTTTACCAAAGAGGAAAATAACAAGTCTTAAAGTAGGATTTAATAGGTATTTCCTTCATTTGGTTAAAAGCCGGGAGGAGGGAGTGAGAGGGGAGAGAAAGAAATGACACAATGGCAATGCTGGAACTTAGGTTCATAGTACACATAGATGTCTCATGGACTGTAGACCTCCAAATTATATGTAATCACTGTTTTCTACTTGGGGCAAAATAAAACTACCCCGAATACTTTTGGGAATGGAAGGACATATTTTTCATCAAATTCTGAAGATGAGTATCTCCCCAAAGCAATAAAACGGCATTGTACAGTTTCCTCTTAAAAACTGGGAGGGAAGGAAGAATTCTGGAAAAGACTTAAAGTCATTCCAGACGCTGAGAAGTATACTCATGTGGAATTACAGGTAATGGAAGTGAGGCAAGATGGTCATTACTTGTAGATATAGTGACTGACTGATTTTATTTTGGGGATGGATTCTTGAAGTAAAATTACTAGGCCAGAAGCTCTCGTATATCTCACCAAATTATTCATCAGGTGACTTCTCATCTCAGAAAGCTTTTATTAGTTTTCACAGGTACTGTTCCCTTCCCCTTACTTACTCCCCTTACTCAAGCGGTTGGCAATTAAAAGGAATTTTGTTCCCAGTGGGAACAGAAGACCTCAATGTGTTGAAAACATTGTGAACCTTCATTCTGTAACAACTGTGTGAGGAAAATACAGTTTTAGCAAGAGAGAAGAAAGGTTGAACAAATTGGCAGACTGTTTTCCTTACAGTAATGGCTTAATATTGTGGAACCCTCTAAAATCGGTATTAATTTTTTCTTAGTTGAATTTGTAATTTAAAACAAACTGAACTACACTACAATGTTAAAGTTAGATAATGTGTTCTGAATATCACCTGGAAGTGTGAACAAGTGGGGCTAACTACATTGTTTAAACAGAACAATAAAGAAAACATTCTTGACATTAAAGTTAATAAAAACATTGTGAAACTGCAAATCAGTATGTAGACAAAATGATACAATAAATTAAACTCAGACTGTACTGCATGTATAAATTAATGTTTAGTAAAGTATCACAAATTGATGGTCTTCTAATGGTCCTATGGTAGAAACCCTGGTCTCAGTCCATGTATCTGGATGGATAAAGAAGGCAAAATATTTGATATGAGAGACAGGAATTTTCTAAGCATAAGAGATTTGACTGCTGGGCACTGGTGGCTCACGCCTGTGATCCTAACTACTCAGGAGGCTGAGATCTAAGGATCGCGGTTCAAAGCCAGCCCGGGCAGGAAAGACCGTGAGACTCCTATCTCCAATAAACCACTAGAAAACCAGAAGTGGCGCTGTGGCTCAAGTGGTAGAGCGCTCTCCTTGAGCTGAAGAACTGAGGGACAGCACCCAAGCCCAGAGTTCAAGTCCCACAACCGACAAAAAAAAAAAAAAAAGATTTGACTGAAGGATTTTTAGGTTCTTTAAGTTTAAATTATATTATAAAGTTGTAAAACAGAAGAGTAACGAGGAAATAGGACATAAATCATTTATATCCAGTTTGTGTGTACATCTCATTAAAAAAAACAAACACTAGAATCCCTGTGGGATAAATAGATATTTGGTAGAAACCATAAATTAGGGGGAAAACAGATGGCTAATAATATTTACCCTGACATGCAGATGAAGTTAGTGCTTTTTTTCAGCTGTGAGCTGGGGAAACTGGCTTTGTTCAGTCTTAGCTTCAGGAGTGCAATGAAAAGGCACACGTGCACTGATCAGAGGGAGTAAATAGGGAACAAGCATTCTGCACAGTTGTTTGAAGAATGACCCTAGGGGTTTTAATCCAGTGAGGTAACTTCCAGGAATCTCTCTAAAGGTACTGTTAAGAGTCATTTATCATGGCATTGTTATAGTAGAAATTAGTATCAGCACAGTGGTCCATAGAGGGACAGCCATTAAATGAATTATTATACCTACAAGTCATGCAGAAATTTTAAAAGTTTGCAAAGGAAGTTTAACACAGAGGCCTGAGTACAGGACTTACATCATTTACAGTCATTTCCCTATGACATAAAGGAGTGATAATTTTTACATCTTTATATTTTTATTTCCTAAATTTTCGAAAATGGAAATGCATCATCTTCATAATCAAGGCAAAGTCTTTCTCGTCAGTAGTTCTGTCTACCTTAGACCCCAAAATGGATTTCCGCCTGAGCTGCTGTGTAGCTGTTACAGGACTATGTGCACAAATACTCCACCTTGTATCTCCTCGGAGGAGATTCGTAGCCTTGACCAAGCATGGCCAGAGTATACGGCAGGGTGGGTTTGGAAACCACATTGCTCATGACTGCTGAATAACTCTCATCTCCCTCAACACAAGGCTTTGTTAGTCTATTTCTATCCTTCTTTCAAAGGCTGAGTAACACCTGTTTCCTACACTCCTGGCCTTTAGGTCTCAAGGAAGAAGTTAGCCCAGGTAGAACTCTGGTGAACTCTTGCTCCACATACTATGACTTTTTGAAAGAGTAGTTTGGTTTTTGTAACTAGACCTTATATCTTACAGCCTTTAGCAATACTTCTTCCAACACTGATTTCCCAGTTTCTCTCCTGTCCTGAAACTCTGTAGTCTCTTCTAAAGTTTTCCAGACAATCAAGCCAAGAATAGCCATGTGAGACCTTGATAAATGCATGTAGAATGGATCCCTCAGCATTCAAGGTTTTATTAAACTTTTAAAAGGAGAATATGCCTTCAGGTATGGCCAAAACAAAGCATTAAATACTTAACAGAATGGAATTGGGCTTTGTTATTATTTTCAAGATGTGTTCTGTTAATTCCTTGAAATGTCCTAGATATACTCACTGATGCATGGATATTGGATATTATGTTAACTAAGATTTTATCACTTGTGCAGGATTTAGAGAATCCTGTGTGACTAGATGAAGTTTAAGTCTGAGTAAATCCCTGTTTATACGTTGAAGCCACCTGGGTGCTATTCAGCTGTGATGACTGACTGGTGTGGTTTGTCTTCTGCAGGAGTTCATCTTTATTATGTCGGAGGGGAGGTTTATGCTGAATGCCTGAGTGACAGTAGCATCTTTGTGCAAAGTCGGAACTGCAACTACCATCATGGATTTCATCCCACTACTGTCTGCAAGATTCCTAGTGGGTGTAGTTTGAAAATTTTTAACAACCAAGAATTTGCTCAGTTATTGGCACAGTCTGTGAACCATGGTTTTGAGACAGTCTTCGAGCTCACAAAAATGTGCACTATACGCATGAGCTTTGTGAAGGTAAGTAAGTTCTGATTTCCCCCGGCTCCTGTTACACGTGTGCTTTCTCACCATATGTAAATCGGGATATGTCCACATCTGCATATGTGTTACCACAAGAATTTTAAACATTAAGAATGTCAATTACTAAGAAAGCATCATTGGAACATAAAGGTGTTTGTATTTAATGTCAGTGGCAACAAGTCTCTGGTGTCCTTTTCCTTATTCAAGAGACTACCATAGTTACTGTAACACTGTAGAAAACTGTTAACTTGTAGTCCAAGTGCACACTTGTCTTCTCAGATCCGTTGAGTAAGTACATCTTCCTTGGCTCATTCTTTCTTTTTAGTTCTTTTATGATGGCAACACTTGTTGCCTTTGGGTTAGCGATAAGGAGCTTTTTATAAAAATAGAAGAACATTACCCTGGAAATTATTTTTGATTGGCCAAGACTTCATGTGTTTTCTCTTTGTGTGCCCCCTTCCCAGTGGTACTGTTAATAAAGAGCAACAGTTAGCAAGGCCCTTGCCCAAAGGTAAGTAGGTATCTTAGTTCTCAGAGTAAGGTTTGTGGAAGAAAATGCTGAAGTTACTATACATAATACATGCCCCCTTTTCTATCTCCTTTTTGCCTCTGAGAAGTGAAAGCTTTTAGAATGCCATTGAAATATTAAAAAAGTAAATATTAGCAGTGGTTCACACCTGCAACCCTGGCTTCTCAGGAAGCTGAGATTGGAGGGTCATGGCTCAGAGTCATCCTGGCCAAGAACGTTCATGAGAATCTTAGCTCCAATTAGCCAAAAAGAGAAAAAAGCTGGAAATGGAGCTGTGTGGCTCAAGTGGTGGAGTGCTAGCCTTAAGCAAATAAAGCTCAGGGACAGCACCCAAGTCCTGAGTTCAAGCCCTATGAACAGCTCCAAAAAGCATAAATAAAAGTGTCTGATTAGATTTCATGTGGCCATGACTTACTCTAGTAACTGAGTTGCCTTGAATTTGCAAGGATGAAATCCCACTGTGCATTACTCTGAGAGCCACACCTAATTGCATACTTGGGCGAGGTAGTCACCTTTCATGTCCTCTCTTCAGAAGCTCCCACAGCTTGTTGTTCAACCTGTTTGTAAAGTACTTACTGAGGATCATTCTGGAACCTCACTCTGTTACTCATCTTCTAGATTAAAGACATTCTTTCCTGAGTAACATTTGTCATACTCCTTCCAATCATGTTAGCTGAGCCCCACAGTGTTCTCTTGCAAACAGTTGTTTGCATGGGCTCTGGTTCTTCTTTAGTACTAAAGAAGGATTTGTATAAACCCCTTCAAGAGCAGACTTACATGCTGTGTTCTCATTATTACCAACATTCACTGTTTAATTTTTACCCTAGCACTTAGTCAGATAATTTTTGGAAATCAGGCCAGTGACTTCCGTGTGTGTGTGTGTGTGTGTGTGTGTGTGTGTGTGTGTGTGTGTGTGTGTGTGTGTGTGTGTGTGTGTGTGTGTGTGTGTGTGTGTGTGTGTGTGTGTGTGTGTGTGTGTGTGTGTGTGTGTGTGTGTGTGTAACAACCTTTACACTGATAGAAGGTAGTTACCATTCAAAGCTCTGCATTGAAAAAGTATTAGATTTAATTCCTTCAGCAAATATTTTAGCACTATTCCAGGTGGAAAATCACCTAAAGTTTCTATCTTCCCAGTGGTTATGGAGTCCTAAATGTTTAGCTGTAACAAAGTATAACATCTGCACTATAGCTCTGAGGGCATTAGACATAGCTAGAAGCTGGATTTAGAGTTCCAAATAAACAAATCTTACTTGAAAACTCTGCTCATAGTGATAAAGTACACACTTATAACATTGTTCCTTATTATCAGAAAGGCGATATTGCATTCTTCCTCCTCTCCCACTCAGCATCTTGGAGAAGTGGTACAGAGCATGTAACATAGCCTATCTTGTGCTAATTTTGGAAATTATATAAAAACATATTGTATAATTGTTCATATCATAAACTCTCGAAGTCTAAACAAGTATTTATAGAAGTTCTGTTCCATGCCACTGACTGTTGGATGTTGGAGGTCAAAGGTGACCCCTGCCTACTAAGAACTTCCTCTGCGGCCAAGACATTATGTGTATTATGCACATTATGTGTAGCAGTCAATGTATGTGCAGATGTGATCCATATACAGATGCAGATGTCATTCACAGTTCACATATCACATCTTTCTCCCAGAGTTCTTATAGTCACATGCATTTCGGAACTGTCTGGAACTGGTGGGTAGCTCAGATACGCCTCAGGACACAAGGGTCAATCGGAACTTTGTGTCCATGGCCTACTCACGGCAGCAAGCTTACGATCTTTTGTGGTAGCAACATTTCTTCCCTCTTTTTTTATGGGACTGTGGAACTTGATGGCACAAGTTAGTACATCGGAAGCTGTCTGGCAGGCTGCCTGCTCATCCAGATGGATGTGTACAAGTCCAGCTTTTTCTTATTTTTTGATAATAGAGTGAGAATAATAGCTATAACATCATGGCAGTGTACTGGGAAATGAATATGAAAGTTTAAGAAGTGTCTTTGTTAAAAGAATTTTGTAATGTATTTGAATACTTCCATTCCCAAAGACCTTTTTTTTTTTTTTTTTTTTAGTTTGGGGTTTTGTTGTCGTTTTGATTTCCTTTTGGCAATACTGATTTTGAACCTGAGGCCTTGTGCCCCCTTGGCAAGCACTCTACCACCTAAACCAATCCCTAGTCCCCTCCCCCTTGATGACCAGTAATTCATAATCTGGGAAAGGTCCATATGTTTGAACAGACTCTAGTTACGTGAATCCTTTTTACTTATGTGGAGCCATTGAGTTATAGACAAGTGAAATGACCTCTCGTGTGGGTGTGTCTGTGTGTGTGTGTATGTTTTTTTTTTAGGGCTGGGGAGCAGAGTACCACCGCCAAGATGTCACAAGTACCCCCTGCTGGATTGAGATACATCTGCATGGCCCCCTCCAGTGGCTGGATAAAGTTCTTACCCAGATGGGTTCACCTCATAATCCCATTTCATCTGTGTCTTAAGTGGCCTCAGGCTTCTGCCTCTGGAAAACTATTGAGCCTTGCATGTACTTGAAGGATGAATGAGTCAGACCTGAGGGAGAACTGACAAAGGAGCCTTGGTAATACTTGACCTCTGTGACCAACTGTTGGATTCAGAAATTTAAACCTTGGTAACATGCTGTTGATAGCAAGAACCTGTTTAGTTTACATTGTGACATTCTGTTGTAAAGTCACCTAAAGTGCAGACTTTTAGCAGGACTTTTGTGTATAGTTAAAGAAGAGATGGCCAAGCCAGGGACGCTTTATCTGTTAGAAAACAGTCCTAAGAGATTCTTTTGTGTTTGGCACTTTATGGTCATCGCTCGACAAGTTTAACATTAACGGCTAGTCTCTCTGAAGTGTGTTTTTATCAGGTTCTGAGCCCATGTTGGATCTTCTTTCCATGGGTTTTCATAATACTTTAAAACTGTTTAGCTATGGTTTTGTTTATTTTTTTAAGTAAAGGTTAATCTTTATGATATACATAGTAATCTTTCTACAATTGTATGCTGACCATACTGCTGTCAGAATAATGCTAGGCATATGCTCTTTGCTAAATATATATGTACAGAATATTTGGAAGTTAAAAATGGAATAGACTAGTAAAAATAGAAGTATTTGCGCAGGGGGTGGGGGTGAGGGAAATGACAGTTGCAAATGTAGAATATACTGTAAATTCAGTTTGTTGCCTTAAACGAACTGGTTATCTGAATTTTGCTGTGTTCGGTTTTTTAGAGATTTTTATCTTTTTTTTTAATCCCTTCCTCTCCACAAAGCAGTTATGCAGTTGGTTAATTCCTGTAATTGTGAGAGCAAATGAATAATTCCAGCTATTCTCAAATTGGCTGCCTATATGTTTCAATACCAAGTGTATTGAGTGCTTGGATTTAATAAGCAGTTTGTATGGAGTTTACAGTTCAGAAACAGGCTTTAATTTTCAAATGAATTGTTTGCCAAACCTAATAACTCCAATAAATATTTGGAGGATCTAAAGAATATCCCTGTTTAAATCCATTTCAAACTTTTTTAATTTTTTTGTACTGTTTGGTTTTATTTTTCTTCTGTTAATCTTTTATATTCACCTAGGCTCTCATACATTTTATTCCAAAACTAGTGGGGTTTGTCTACTGGAAATTTTAAATAAATCTGTCATTATTGCTTACTTCGATTAAAAATCTGTCTATTTTTTTCATATTAGAATCAGTAAGATTTGTTACTCTTTCAAGAGTTTTTCCCCAAAATATTCACTACCAAATATAACAGTTGAATTACAACCCAAAGACGTGGAGCCTGAATTGTGAAGAGGAGAGTCACTTCAGGTCAAAAGAGAAAGGATAGGTAAAACTTGAAAAAATTAGTGGGAACAAAAGCAGTGAAAGTTGAATTTATAAACTTTTAATGAAAGGGAATACAGCAATAACAATTATTGGCAGACAGCAGTCCATCTAGAAGAACTCATTTCTTAAATCAGAAGAAGATGCAAAAGGCACTCACTGTAGGAGATGTAATAAGGGATAGAGGGGCTAAGAACTAATGCTACAACAGGAGAAAGCAGTGACTGGCAATTAATCCAATCCCCTCCCAAAGGAAATAGAGAGAGAAAATGAGTTTGCCCATAGACACACGTTTTAAGGACACTTAGATTATTTCCTAGCCAAATGAATGCTGCTCTTCTTCCCTCACATTTCATAAAATACGTCTCTCCTGGTTGTGTGCCAGTCCTAAGAGAAAGTTTAAAAGAAAAAGAATGATTTGCTTTTTTCTCTGAAAATACATTTTTTTCTTCATACTATGACCAAGAAAAATACCTGCAGGCCAGGCCAGAAGTTGCACATAAGTGCATCCCATCTTTGCTGGATTACTTCTGTGGACCTCTTGCTCACTTGTTGAGATTATGCACTTACATAGTCAGAATTCATGTGGGAATGTCAACAAGTACATGCAAGTAGAGTTGAGTTTTTTGTTGGTTTTTTTTGGTCCGGTTGTGGGGCCTGAACTCTGGGGCTGGGCACCTCAGCTCTTCAGCTCAAGGCTAGCGCTCTCTACCACTTGAGCCACAGTGCCACTTCCGGTTTTTTCTTTTTTGCTTATGTGTTGCTGAGGAATCAAACCCAGAGCCTCATGCATGCAAGGCAAGCGCTCTACGCAAGGCAAGCGCTCTACCACTGAGCCACCTTCCCAGCCCGAGTTGAGTATTTTTTAAATCTTCTCTACTTCCTGTGTCTTCCGTCAACCCACATCTTTCCTGATGCAGGTGACTGGATTGATAATAGTGATAGATGAGATGTAATCAAAAGCCATTACTAAAACCTACTGAGCTTAAGGTGAAGTATAAATGGAAATTACCTAAGAATAAAGAGCTCTCAAGTGGGATTTTTCACACTTTTCCTAGTGCTTTCCTTGAGTTCCTGTGGTTGCCTGGGGCAGTTAGTTCAAGCATTGATTGGATGAAGCCGTGCTGGTAGCCAGCTTGAAAATTCCGTCAGCTAAAACACCTAGATTGCCCAGTGGACTAAAACCTACCTCTAGGAGTTTTGAGCAAGGTACAGATGAAAATTATTTATAATTTTAGTAATATCTTACTGAAGACCATCCTCATCCACTACGAAAAAGCTATATTAAGTTTTTTGGAAATTGGTAATTAAAAGAATGAAAAGTCAAAGCAAGTAACTTAGATTATGTGACAAAGTAAGCTATTGTGAAGTGTTTCAGCGTAGGCTGAGTCTGCCACTGAGTAGCCGGGATGATTAGAAGTGGAGGGCACTGGAACTACTGCGTCACCATCACTTAATAGAATTTTACCTCCAGCAAATTCTTTAATGTTCCTGCGGGTGTCCTCATCTGTAAAACGGAAGCAAGCTTTCATGGGATGGATTATCAGGAAGATGTATTCAATACATGCAAAGCACTCAGAATCCCTCAGTAATAAATACTGCTAATCAAATCTAGGGCGGACAAAAGGAAAAACTTGTTTAAACAGAAATTGGGGAAGACTTTACCTTCAACAAACCCAGTGGAAAATCCTGTCCTCCAGGAGCTTACTGTCTAGAGAAAGGAAGGAAGGAAGAAAAGTAGCAACTCAGGAGTGCCTTAGCCCTGCTGTGTCCTAGGCCCTGTGCCAGGGGTTTCCACGCATTGTCTCTTACGTCCCCAAAATAGCATGTGAAATATGACTCCATTCTTCACTCCTCTGTTAATTTTCCTTCCTTCACCATAGCAAGTTTATGAGCTAATCAATTTGTATAGAGAAAAGGGTTATTTTGGCCACAGTTTTTGAGGTTCCAGGCTGTGATCCAAGAGACTCATTGCTTTTGCATCTTGGGAAGGGCAGTGGTGTAGAACTACTCACCTCCTTGCAAGCAGCAAAGAAGGAATTCCAGGCATTCCTATAGCGATACCCCATTCCTGAACATGCCCCCAATAACCTAAAGACCTTCCATGTTCAGAGGCCTACACTACTGAGAGATCTTACCACCTCCTAAGAACGCCATGCAGGGAGCCAGCCTTTTGCACAGTAGGCCAATGGGGAACATAAACGATCCAAACTGTAGCAACACCTTACATCGTTCTTAAAAATATAAATAAGGAAACTAGCCCAGAAACTTAAGTAACTTGTCCAAACACATAGAGTGTGGAAATCACAATTTCCAATTAGGATTTGACTTCAACATCTAGGGTTGAACTCTGCTATCTCCTTTCTTGTATTGGCGTGAGGTATATAAACAATCTATAACAAGATAAAGAGCAAAGGAAAGAAGTTCAGGCTGTTGAGTAAAGATCAGTACATCAGTAAAGGTTTTATAGAGGAAGGGGTGTTTAAGATTGATACTTCAAGGATGAGAAACGTTTTGGTCATTGGAGAAACTTGTAGGCAAGAAAAGAGTCTGAGTAAATATCTGTGCATGATTTTAAAAGAAAGCTGTGTATGATAAGCTAGGTTTGGTGGTGCTTTTCTGGAACCCCAACATTATTAAAGCATGTGAATTCAACATTAGCCTGCACTATGTAGTAATTAAGGTCTCAAAAAAATGGTGTGTGTGACAGATACCCATTTTATATATCACCAGCATCTACACCCCAAATTCTAAAGGTGGGCTTCCAGTTCTCAGAGGAGATGATGCCGCATAGATCAGTGTTGGCATGCTACCTCTCAAGGGACAGATAAAGGGAGAAATGTGTACCAGTTAGAAAATAGAAGAGTTGGGTCCAGGCATGTCTGGGAGCACCAGTAATTCTGTGTACCTGGAGAGGATCAGTGAAGAAGGGGTCAGGTCATTAGTGATTTTATCTATGTTACAATAATGGGGGTGGGGAATTCCTTTTAATTTTAGTTGTAAGCTAGTTGAGATCACTTAAGGACCAAACAGCAACAGCTAGGAGAGAATTGGTAGGTTCTCTTATGGAAGCATACATTGGAGGGCCAGAAAGGATCTAAGGGTAGGAAAGAAAAGAATCAGAACCCAAGGGGAGAGTTCCAACAAGGAAGCTTTGCTATACAGTGTGACTAGTACAGGGCAGAAGATGAGGATTCACAAGAGGTTTATTCTTAGTAAACAGGAAGTCTTTGAAGACTTGAAAAAATGGGGGTGGGGGAAGGAAGATACTGTATAAAGTCAAATTACAAGGATTTGAAAGTCTGGACTTGAGAAGAATGGAAGCGTAGAGTATTTTGATGTATTGGTGAGAAGGGAACAAAGATGTAGGATAGAATATGGTGGCAGGAGGGACAAGCAGATGTGAAGGAAGGCTGTGTTTGAAAAAAGAGCAAAGCACAGACCTGCAAGATGATGTCTACCTGCGTGGTGAGGTCATCCGTTAAAAGAGAAAAGAGACTCAGCTGAAGCACAGACCTGCAAGATGATGTCTACCTGCGTGGTGAGGTCATCCATTAAAAGAGAAAAGAGACTCAGCTGAAGAAGACGAAGATCCATTCAGTCGCCCTAAAGGGAGGTGCTCACTTGTAATAAATTACAGCATTGTTACGGAGCTTTTTGTGTGCACAGCTGAGCTTGAGTGAGAGGCCTGAAGTGGATCTTACCCCACTGGAACTGGAGATGCAGAAGATGATAACTGGGAGAGCAAGAATGTGGTAAAGTTCCTAGAGTTGGGGACTACCACAGCTGTTCTGGGCGAGTTCTGTCAACTCGTTGCATTCATGGAAATGATGGCCTCAGGATCAAAGTAGGGACAAGAGGCAAAAGTCCCAGTTGCTGGAAAGCAAAGGCAAGGACAGAGAACACAGAAGATAAAACACAGCAGCCTTCATCACCATTTCCTCAGAGAAACCTGAGAATGCAGACCACACAATTCACAAGGACAAGTCCAAAAGCAAACCTTCATGAGGGGTGTTGATAAGGAGCAGACTTGTAAAGTCATTGAAGAAAAATCAAGGAAGTAGGCTGAGAGTGTTATCCCCGCACCTAACCCGTGGTAGGCATGCATGGTTGTAGCTTTAGAAACAGGTGTAGTATTTTAAAAAAGCTGTCAGGTTGCCATGCAGTCAGGGTAAGAGAGGGTCTGAGCCCACACTAGTGAAGAAAGAAAAAAACCATCAAGATTCAGAGGTAGCCATGGTGGTACACACCTCAGGAGGTGGATGCAGAAGGATTGCAGGTTCATAGCTAGCATGGGCTACATCATGGAACCTTTTTTCAAACATAAACAGGAAAACCATCCAGCAGAACATGGGTCTGAAAAGGAAGAAACGGGTCTGGGAAGAAAACCAGGAAGGACCGCAGCATCCATCAGTTGATGGACAATGAATTGAGACAGCGGTGAAAGTCAGGTAGCCTCTTCCTTCACAGAGGTTGGCAGAGCTTGATAGTATTTCTTTTTTTTTTTAAGACATTGATCTTCTGTGTCATCTGTGTCTTTTGGAGATTTCCTATTCCTGAGCTTTTGGAAGGATTTCTGAAGCATTTCTTGCTCAGTTCACAGAGGGTGAGATACTTTAGAAACAGAAGTAGGAACAAGAAAAAGAGGAAAACAAGTGTAGGAGGAGAAAATGAGGGAGGTGAAACTCTGATTAAGAGCTCCCAGGCTCTGTACAGTCTCGTCTCTTTCTCATACTTCAGGTTGTGGACTAGTCGCTTCTACAAATACGACATGTCATTAATCATATCCAGGATATGCACACACCCAGCAAGAAGAATGAACATAGGG